ATATATATATATATATATATATATATGCACTTTTCTATATATACACACACACACACTAGACAAGCAGAATAATTGATTGAAAATGCTTCTTTCTGTTATGTAGACTTACGAAATATTTTTTACTTCTGTGTGTTTTATATTTTCAGGCTCCTTTTCTTCATTGCAAGTGGTTCCAAGAGACATTTTTATAGACAAAGTTTGATGTTCACTTGACAGTTACAGTAGCATGTAAACATTTCCCACTTCATAAAAATTTCACCAAGAGAGGGCAGCTTTAAACTGTTTTCTGCCAAGGTTATTCTGTTCCTCTCCTGCTCGGTTTGCTGATTTTGGGAATGGTCTGCCATTAAGTGACTGTCTAAGATACATTTTTGTCATTAAGTCATTGCAGTCATTGTTATGATGACTTATGTTACTATGGTATAACTTTATATTAATAGCATTAAAACATGGCTATGCAGTAGCCAGCTGTTAGTAGCTATAAGGCAACAAGACACCCGTTGAAGTTTCTTTTTTGTTTGTATTTGATAAATTCTGCCTTCATTTCACCCCATGAATCTTGCATCATTTTTGTAAGTAAAAAAATATACTATTAGTTGAGATTTTAGAAATGAATGCCTATGATATAACTTGTACACTGAAAATGAGGGGTTTATTTTTCATTAGTGTTAATTCAGTTTTCCTAGAGGATTTTAGGTTATAATTGAATGTATCTTGTCTTGTTTCAGGTATGGCAATTTAGATGGAGATCCAAAGGAGATATCCCCTGTTATTGACCAGTTCATCGAGTGTGTGTGGCAATTAATGGAACAGTTTCCTTGTGCCTTTGAATTCAATGAGAGATTCCTCATCCACATACAGCAGCATATCTATTCTTGCCAGTTTGGGAATTTCCTGTGTAACAGCCAGAAGGAGAGGCGAGAGCTGAAGTATGAAAGTCTTTTCTTTAGTAGCATATTTACGTGTGGGGTCTGTGGGTGGTGGTGTACTGAGGAGTCAGACATTTGCCAGTCTAGGTGTATGTGCTTTCGTAAGGTGCAGGGTGCAGTGTAGACTCCTTGGCTGTCATCCTCTGGCAACCGATTAATACCGAAACAGTTGATCCTCTGCCATGTGGCTCTGCTGGGAGTGTAATCCACAGCGTGCGTGACAGGGATTAGAGAAGAGTGACAAGAGCATTAGCCCTTCAGCCATGTGGCCCTACCTTTATTCCAGCATTAGCAACGTACAAGGCAAGCTGTCACTGTAGCTCTAATACAAGATGATATTAATTCTAGTTAAGTTCTCAGTTTGAGTCACGGCTCTTCTGTGTTTTAACTTGTCTTTGGATCTCATGTCAGGACACTTTAGTCCTGATCTCTCAGATACTTTCTTATGAGCAGCTTTTTTGTCTGGTAGCCCTCCCTAGGACCAAGTCAGCAAACTATCTTTCTGCTGTCTGGGCCCAAAGCAATTATGAATTAATCTACCTGCCCTCAGGCCCAAACAGAGACAATAATATCATTCCTGGCAGTGCCGATGTTTGTGCCTGTTTCCTGGGGCCCTGGCTCCTCAGGTACCTCCTGATACCCACCGCTTTTCTCACGCATCCTGATTGTGTCAGCAGTAGTAATGAGAGAACGTGGGAGTTACTGCTTGCTGCTGCCGTTTGGTCCCTTTCACCGCTCAAATGCAGAGCAGCCTCAGTGCCACAGTCCATTTAAAATCAAAACCTTCACGAGTCATCCTATCCCAAGACCTAACTGCATGAGAAATTGCAGCCCAATGGTGTAGGAGTGCTTTTAAATGTGGGGATCCCTTTGGTGTAGAGATCGGTCCGAAAGCTAATTATATGGAAGTGATCCTCTCCATCTCGCAAAGGAACCCGTCTCTCCACCTGCTCTCGCCAGATGCTCTGGCTTTATGGGAAATGGATTGAATTTTGCCTTTAGTGACCAACAAAGGAATATGGGTCTCTGTTTTCCTATATTTACAACTTAAGTCTAATTCTGTTAAGGAAGTATAAAGCTGATTGTAAACGAATAGTACAGACAACTGGAATGTTGCATCTAAGCTTTAGCTATACCTGAATTGTAGTAGAGACTTTAATATATCTTTATTTCATATATTTTTTTCAGAATCCGAGAACGAACATATTCATTGTGGGCTCACTTGTGGAAAAATCGTGCCGATTACCTGAATCCTTTGTACAGATCAGCCCACAGTCAAACCCAAGGGACCCTGCACCCACAGATGGCTCCATGCAACTTCCTGTACAAGTAGGTAGTATCACTTGCTACTGAGCATTGTAGGATGTGTTAGTACAGAACAGAGTGCCTTTGTATTTAAGTATTTCTTGTTCCATAAGGTAGCTTATAGAGAGTAAATTCAGTCTCAGATGCAATGTGTTCTTTCCTTGTGTGCTCATAGTCAGCCAACACCTCTGCACCATTCCACAATGGAGTATTAGTCTGAAAAGAAGCTTAAGATTAAAGCTATATTGATAGTTGTGTGTCCTAATTTCATGGTTACTCACTTCTTCCACTGAGAAATGTCTCTTTCAGTTCTGTTCTCGTCTGCGGTTTCTGAATTTAAAGTAGCTTCAACTTCTTCCATTCCAAGATTTTGTTATGTTTATTTGGATTAATTAAATCAAAATAAGTCAAAAAGAAAAAAGGGACATTTCAAGAAGTCATACGGTTTCATTGCTAAAACAAGTGTTTAGTAACACAAAAAGCAGCCCTTCCCCATGTTGTTATTACACCTTGAAGTATACACAGTAAGTTTGACTTGATATTTAAGTTTTTTTCAAAATGTAACAAAATACCATAATTTTAGAAATGTTACTATTGACATTCTGACTTGAGTAATTAATTGTGCCATTAATCTTAACAAACTTAAGGAGAACTTGAATAGAAATTAATGAAAACTGTGATATAAGTAAAACTGATCAGTTTGTTTTCCAGTTGCAAGTAAAAGCACCTGTTAAAAGGACAATAAGTATCTTCAATGACAGAAATTCAATTCTTTCACATCTACTATTCCAGGTCATATCCACTTCAAAACAATTTAAAAATAGTCATTAATCGTATTCTTTAGGATAGTGGGATTTATAAAAGAAACACTGATACTGCAGATCCTCCATCAGATGAGTAATCCTGTTGATTTTAATGGAATTACTTGGGTGCATAAAGATTTCCAGGCATGAGCTGTGAGATGATAAACTTAAGGGGGAACGTGACTTAAATAGTATACTATAGTATACTATAGGAATAATAAACCACCAGGGAACACGCACGTGCTCCGAAAATATCTGTCAGCTACTTGGCTGGACCGCTGCAGCTGAGGGCAGGTCTCGGTTACTTAACCTGTCTGGTGAACTAGTTACATACTCAGAGTCTGCCTGGGCCGTGTAGTGCCAGGAAGACAGGAGGAGTGCTAGAGTAAGACACGGACTTACAGTTCAAGTCCTTTCCTCCTGAAAATGAAAAATCAACTCAGCTGTTTAACTAAAGGTTTGGCAAATAATTCCATAGAACAGGAATAGAACTTGCCAACATATATGCTTCGTGCAATTTCCATAGGCCAGTTTAAAATGTCAGTTTAAATTGTAAGAGAACAGGACGCCATACTGTTTTTTACTCCTGATTTTTAACCCTTCTTTACAGGGGAAAAAAACCCTGTTAACTAGCTGCACCTCACCGCCCCCCTAGACAAAAACAAGCACCCAGAATTTCAGAGTTGACTTAATGGGAAGTTAAACAAGGGTTGAGAAATACAATTATGAAAACCTGTCTTTAACCTTGGCTGTTTTATAGGTATCATTGCCCTAAAGCCCATAGTGTAGGACAAGCAAAGGTTTGTGTTCAGTGAATCACCCTCAGCCACGTGATCTAAGTCAAAGGTACATTCACCGCTCTTTCTATTGTGTATAAGAATTAGTTCAAGCTGTGTATGGCCACAGAGTTGCATCTTCAGGACAGACCCAATGCAAATGAACCATAAATCTTAGCAAATGGACTTATATGTGTGCACTCTAATGATGAATAATCCATGGATGGATCATTTAGGACAACATGTGTCAGGAAAAAAAAAAAAAAAGAAAAGGTGTGTTTAAGTCTTCTGAGGCCACCTCACCAAATGAGAAAAATCACTGACCCGCCCATCAATTCCAGGTTCTGGAGTGGTATGTACAACCGCTTTGAAAAGGGGCTGCATCCTCGACAGTCAGTTACTGATTATCTGATGGCAGTGAAGGAAGAAACTCAGCAGCTGGAAGAAGAGCTGCAGGTCTTAGGAGAGGTAATAAACACTTGACCTCGATGCCCCAGACTTAACTGATGGTAAATGAAACCCAACTCCATACACTTGCACAGTCCCCTGTGCTACATCCTCTTCTGGCATGAGGATGTTCAGCCATCTTCATCTTTGTTCTCACAGAAATTATTATAAGTGTTTTGCATTTAAGACACAACAGTGGACTTCTTTCCTTTAGGGATAAAATTTCACCTGTGTTGGTGCACAAGTACCACTCCTGTTCTGTCTTTCTGTAACTCAGAATTGTAACTCAGAAGGACACTGTAATTCAGCATCGGTTTGTGATAAATTGTGCGCTTCTCATACTCTACAAATGCAAATAGGCTTTCTTAAAGGGTGCCAATTGGGTTGGGCTCTGAACTTAGGTTTTTTAGTTTTTGTCTTTTTTTTTTAAAAAGGCAAAGACACATAGGAGGATCACTGCGCCCTAAATGTGTCCGTGTAATATATATACTGTTTCCTTTATTTCAGAGATTGGCGAATCTTCAGAAATCACAACTAAATGATAATAAAGTCAAGAGTAAGCAACAAGACCGAAGCAAACTTTTAGGGCTTTCTACTTCCAACAACATCTTAGCTAACACTCCCCAGGAGTATAGCAATGATCTGAAATCATTCCCATCCCGGAGCCCTTCACAGGGGGACGAAGAAGATTCAGCCCTGATTTTGACACAGGACAACCTGAAAAGCTCCGATCCCGACCTCTCAGCTAACAGCGATCAGGAGTCTGGTGTGGAGGACTTGAGCTGTAGGTCCCCAAGTGGGGGTGGCTGCTTGCCCAGTGAAGACAGTGGCAAGGATTCAGATGAGGCTGTATTTCTGGCAGTCTGAAATACCTTCACAACAGCAAGGATCCAGATGAAGTTGAGTCTTTCACAGTCTGGGATGACATCTTTTCATCAGATGAAGAATGGGAGTAGTCTGTGGCCTAAAGAACTAATCCAAAGAAAGGGAACTGTGCAATTGTGTTAAGTAAGGATCTAAGCAGAACAAGCCATTATTAGTTTTAAGCATAATGCTAAAGAAAGGTAGTATCTGCTATTGTATTTAGTTAAGCCAATGTGGTATTTGTTTTATCAATGCTGTACATAATTATTCCTTACTTTGTATATTTCCATAATTATTTATTATACAAAATAATAGTTCTTCTCCAAAGATGTGAAATTCCAAAGTACTCTCTCACACATAGGGACAAGGCTAAAGATTCATTAGTGTTAGCCTTACTGGTGAATCAGTCAAAACTTATTTTTGTAGAGCTCTTTTGCCTTCAGATATATTGTGTATATTCTTCACTTTTTTTTTGTTTCATGGGGAGGTGTTAGATTTTGAATTCCAACAGTTTTTTTGCCTATTCTCCTACAAAAATCCTTTATGGCAAAGTAAAACTAACAAATGGACATGCTTGTTAAGGGGACAAATGAAGCATTGATCCTGCAAAAATACCCTTTAGCAAGCAGCTGCTGCTGCACGTGAGTGCATCCCCTTTGTACTCAACTCTCAACCAGTGTTGAAAGTTCAGAGGTTTCTGTGAGCAAAACTTCAAGGAATATAACAATACTTACACAGCCTTTGTGTAAAGCATCCCTTTATAATGAAAAATGCGTTAGGCAGTATACTCTAGGCTCTTTATATTTTGTTCTCAAGTTTGATTGTTTCTATCTTACCCTTGTTCCAAACCACCTACATAACATATAAAGGTAAATTTTTAAAGGTAATAAAACCCCCAAATTCTCCAGCCTATTTTGATTCCTACTTGAAAATGTTTTATTTGAGTGGGAGTGAAGTACATACAGAGTAGAGAGAATAGGGAATCCAAAATCACTTATCAAAATCACTTATGAAAGCATCATTCCAAATTCAGAATTAAAGGAAGGTTATGCCCATAAGGGAACTGTTATAAAGAATATTTCTTCCAAATTTTATTCAAAATAAGCTAACCATAACCAAGGGGTTTTTTTTATCCTCACACAAAATTACCGTTTTGGTGTTTGCCAACCTGAACAGAGCATGGCAGTACTAATTTAAGAAAAAGACTGATTCAGCACAAGAGAAAGTTTAATCTCATTTGGTTTAAGAACTTTCATACTTTTTAAGAGTAGGAGTAATAGCTTTCATAATCATAGGTATGGAATTAAACCACTGAAGAATGTTTAAAAATTAGGATGTTTTTGAAAGTCACTAAAAAGGCTTCCATACGGGGATGTAATTCTTCCAGGTTTCTTTTTTTTTTTTTTTTTAATTCAAGCAAGCAGTTAAAAATATAATTCATATGGCTGCTCTTACCTGTTTGGACACAATGTGGTACTGAACTCCAGTAAAGCAAAGAGGTAGTAATGTAAGTTTACTTTGATTGCATTTCATACTACTCCTTCAAATACAGACTTACAGGCAGAATTAAATTATATAAATATACCTCAATTTAGAAACTTCAGATTTTATTATTCAGTCTGCTTTTACACAATGGCTTTTCATTCTGTTCTATGAACTTACGTTATTAAAAATGAGTAGGTAAACTGCAGTATTATTAATATCCTCTTAAAGGGGCTGCTGTCTTTGAACAAATAATTAAATTCCTAGCAGCAAGATTTATCTTAATGTTATGCTGGAAAGGCCAGATCCTCAATTTGATAAATCACTGTAGCTCAAATGAAATAAATACAGCTATAATTTATACTCTATTGAGAATCTAGCCTTCTGGTTTTTAATCTTTATGAATTTTTAATAAATGAAAGCCCTGATTTTAATTGCACTTTTAAAAATGTTTCCTATTTTGAACATAGCCTGTAAAATTTATGGTATTAAAGGAGATTTTGAATGGGTTTTCTCAAACTAAAGAAACATGCTGCAAAGTCAGCAATGACAACAAAACACACAAATATTCTGCCTAAAAATAAGTTTGGAAATGGGCAATATTATTACACATCTTTAAAATGTAAAATTGTGTATGATGGTATTGTGTCCTATTAGACATGTCTAGAAATAAATGCAGAACAGCAATATATGCAAATTAAAAGCACTGTCTTTGTGTTGCTTATGCAACTCCTTGTAATTAGCTTTACAACTAAAGTATTAACATATTAACATTTTATATTAAGCCTTTACTTAGCCCTCTGCAATGTGTCTTTCAGTCCCTGGAATTTTGCATTAGCTGCTACTGTTTTCATTGTAATGTATGTATTTGTGGCATTATTAGCCTGCTGAGAAACACTTTCAAATAAACACTTAGGTCATTTATAGTGTTACGTTATTTCACACCAGTGAATGAAACAAAGGTTTGCTTTCCCAATTTTTGTAATACAGTTCTTCATTTACTCAAGAGTCACTTTGTCACAGAGACAAAGGCATTTTTTTATCTTCCCTACTTTGATAGTTGAATCCAGTGATTTAAGCTGTGGAGGAATCTACAACTAAGAAAAATGAGGTTCCTGTCAATTGAGTTAATTATATGGGAGCACGTTACACCCCTGTAATTTATTTTTTTTTTTTAGGGAATGCGAAACAAAAACGATGAGCAAACCACACTATGAACTACATTGATTTCTTGCAGCCTCCCCTCTGCTGCGAATCCTTGCAAATTTGGCATAAGCCCACTGTAATTTGAAATAGGACACAAGTGAACGTAACTAAACTTCTGGAAAAGAAAGGACTCATAGAGCATTGTAGATTCTGTGGTGTAATTTTAGCCTCTAGGTTCAGGCTGTTCTTTAGTATGAAAAAGTGTGTCTCAAGGACACTGAAGGCAATGGAATCAACAGCTGAAATTTTCTCTACAAAAGATCATCATCTAATGAATGGAAAGAAAACATATTCACTAGCTGCTTTTATTGGTAGCTCTACACAAGACACTGACAAAGGTGGTAAACTGGTGATGGATTCTGAAAAGCTGAGAAATAAAATTAAAAAGTTGGAGGGCACAACTCAGACCGAAGGGTATCATTAAAAATAAGGAGAGAAAAAGAAAAAAATAAGTAAAAGGAGGGAGGCAGGGAAGGAAAGCTCTTTGTAAAATTAGCAGTAAGGCAGGGTACCACATTCTTTGAAGACAGGGGCAAGCCCGAGCACCAGTTTACATAGCATGAAAGATGTCCGATGACACCAACTAGTAACAATTAAAACCCAGCAACAAGGAGGTAGCCTTTGCAATGAAGACGAGCATTTCGCCACTGTTGACCAGCTAACTTCATGCTTTTATGTGGACATTGCCCTGATCTGCACAGCGTCCACAAGTTTATCGCAAACACCACAGTGGAGACAATGGGCTGCTTCTGCGCGTGGGCTGAAGGTTGAGCGTAGCTTTTAGGTTGGCTGGTCACCCTTACGCTCGGTAGCGTAGAGGCAGGTTAACACCACAGTGATACTCCAAGGGCAGGTAAGTCACTGACAACTCATTTGGGAAGGGAGAAACATGTGGTGGGGTAAGTTAAAAGTAGGTCAACTTATCACAGTACTAAGACCAGTGAAAAATCTGCGAAGGATCTAGGGCCGACCGTACAGCCAACCCCAAATTCAAAAAGGCCAGAAGCATTGCCAGAGAGTGGGGTGATGAGAAGGAAAGGTAAAAATAAGCATTCAATTTTACTTATATTATTTAAATTGCCAGTAAAGCACCCGGAGCCAGCAAATCAAATCATGTTGAATCTTAAAATAAAATCTAGTGGTCTTTTAATATAAATCTTTCTGGAAAGAAGCTAATGCAACTTTACAGGTCCACCAGAATCACTGTGACTGAGTTCAGGCCAGGACTCTTTTTTAAGTCTGCTGGTTGCCAAGGTTATTCAGATTCATTTATTCTGTTTCCAAAGACGAAAAGAACACAATGCTTTATGTCAAGATATTCCCTTATTATCGATATACAAGCTTTCCTTGTAGCTTATGACTACATATAAATTTGATCTCTATAGGTATCCGACCAAAACAAGGCATTTACAAAAGCAGCAGCCAGAGATGCCATATGCGTTTTCAAAGCCCATTTTAGTGAAGGTGGCTCCAGGAATTACTGCTGTTGAAAGGGTTAAACAGGAAAAGCTCAAATCACTACACACAAAGATTAAAAGTTTGTCCTTGAGTAGCTTACTGCATGTTTCCAACACAATTCTGTATCCACCCAACAAGTCCTGGAATGCCCAACTCTATCCGTAAGTTAGACAATTACAAGATATATTAAAAATCCCAAAGCCTTTATTTGTAAGTTTAACACATTACAACATTTTCTGTTCAGAATAATGTACACAATAAGGCTGTGATAACTGACTTAAGGTTGTTGCCAGAGTTTTAATTCAGTTTTACCTGAAGGTCTCTTAAATCTCTCTTTTAGAAAGATTTATCCTAGTCTTTGAAGGGAATAGTAAGAACTCGGACAGAAACATGACTAAAAGATTTCTAACTTCCACATTTGGTCAAGGTCCAAAGTGGCAAAGCTGGAGGAGTATGTACAGAGCAAACAACAGAACTACAGCAGATCATTAGATACTGTTTAGAACTAACTTAATTACAGACTCTTGCTTGTAATGGTGGCTAGCGTAGCTGTATGTACCTGACAGTCCCTGCCTTTCAGAAAGGCTAGCATGTCTGTGAAATCTAGAAAAACTTTCTTCTATAAGCCCCAGCAGAAGGTACCATTAACACCAGTTGTATACAAGATCACCCTAAAATTAAACCTACTTAATTTCAGACTTAGATTTTAAAATTTCTCTGGTCTGCAATAGCATTAGTTGCAATTGCTATATGGAGAATTTGGTTCTGGATTTAAGTAGTCACTTGACTCAGGAAGGAACAAAAGGCTTAAATTCAGCTACAGAAAACATTTAGCAGTAAGATCAGATGTTAAAATTAGGCAAAACCCAGCCTCAATTAGCAGTTACAATACAGAATGCACCCTCACCCCCACCCCAAACTATTGCAACACCAGAGACAAGCCACCTCCTTACTCTTCTATTTCCTGGTCACTTATTTCACTTTTCCACTTGGCAGAACACCTCACCATGAGCGTGGCACAGCGCAAGGATCTCCAGAAACAAGTCACCTTATGTAGCCTATTATTCCAGATTAATTAAGAGTTCACTTGACACATTTCAGAAGATTTTAGAATATGCATCTAACAGCAGCTGCCATTCTCTTACACTTCATAGGGAATTGTTTAAAGCTGGATTCACACCTACACGCCACATTTCAGCAAAAGAAGGAATGCGCTTAACAGTGAACCACCAGCATGCTAGAAGCCAAAAAGCCTAACACTGGCAGAGCGTTACCAGTGTTCTACTAAGTCTCCTGATGAAAGTATTAAGATTACCTATAAGGAAAAACGTTCGCATTGGCACAACCAATGTAGGACTGCAAGAAAAGGAAAAAAACCAAACCAGCAAGCAGGTTGGCTTGTCCTTTAAGGGCCAGAAACAGGCTGGCCATTCCTGCATGTGACAGGATACCTGCAGCTAACCCAGTACACCACTGCTGAATAGAGATTTCTGTGCTTCTTTTCTAGAGGACGGGTTTGTGACTGCAGAAGGGGCTAAGAAATAGGGGGGAAAAGATCCTAAGAATAGGAACAACGATATGAGAGAGAGAATACAAAGGGAGAAAAAAGAAGACCTTAAACTTTCGTATCCCTGAACAAGAAACACTGTACTAAGCACTGCATTGAACAGTGACATTTTCTCCTAGACTCTCCTCCACTATCATCAAAAGGACTCCATGGAGAAGTCCTGAATTTACAAATTTGCTTACAAAAGTAACATAAGAGGAAAAGCTGAAGTGTTGAGATCCTGTACTAGTTTGGGAAGCAAATCCCCGAGGGTGACCTGGCTAGAGTTCAGTCACAGTAGAGCACCATAATACACCATGTAACATTCAACCGGAGGAGGCAGATGAGGACAGAAATCTGTCATTCCATACCATTATAAAATGTATAAAGATACTAGCCCAACTCAGGAAGAACACCTGGTGTTTGGTCATCTGTTCCTTTCTCTGCTTACAAGGAAGAAACAACAAAAGCAGCCCTGTAGAGGACTGTGTCTAGTCTTTACGCTTGTTAGCTAGATACTCAGAAACTAAGATCCAAAACAACTTGTACACTCAGCACAAAAATAAACAGACTTTGTCAAGAAGGTAACACTGATGACTTAAATCTAACTTTTCTCCAGAGCTGCAGAAATCACACTACAGAGGCACCCAAGTCCACTTGGAAATGTACACGATCTCAATTTTAATTAGGGCTTTAGTTAGCACGTTAGCAGAAGTGCTATGTCAATACACAAGCAGTATTATGCAGTCAACAGAAACGTTTTTTTGCAAGAAGATACTCCTAAAAGTATTGCTTAACCATGGCACTTACAACTGGTTTATTTTTTCAGGCACCTAAGTATCTTCTTTGATTTGGACCACAGTTCTGTTTGCTTGGGACATCTAATCTCAATATGTGGACAGCTTCACAAAGAAAAATCCCATCAAATACCAGTGAACAGTCTACTCGCCCTGAAAGGCAATAGCTTAAGACAAGACAACCACAGTACTGTAAAGTATGACAGGGTTGAGACTAAAGCCCCATTTGAAGATTCACTAGCCTGTGGAACAGACTTCTTGCACTTACGTGTTTTTCATAACTCCAGATGTACTCACTTTGCTCCAGTTCAGAAGAAATACCTTATTGCATTTTGCTAGAACAGCATCGAGTTTAGGACTGACTGAAGATTAGCGATACAGAAAAGAACTCGCTTGGACTGACGTGCTTTAGTGTGAGACTTAAATCTGTGATGTCCTGTGACCCTATCTAGGTAACACAGAGGCAGCGTCTTGGCTAAGAGGTTTATCTCTAGACTGCTTCCTGACAAGAAAGCAGGGTTCCTGATAGATTACTTAATCAGTGCTTTATCTTATTTACCTCCAGAACTGCACAATTCCTTCTGTTCTTCTGGAACTTGACTGTTGCCATGAAAAGCTAATGCACTGACAAGATTAAGAAAAAGAACGTGCCTTTTTGCAAGAGAGAACACCCATGCATGTATTTAGGAGTTGTATTTTTCTCCTATAGAATGCCGCACTTGGTCCTATCCATTCTCACCAGATATACCCCCATCCCAAAAAAAGTCAGGTCACCAGAGGCAAGATCAGCAATTAAAGGGCAGAATTAAGTCTCACTTCCAAATTCTACCCCTGGCCTTAGCATAACACATTATGCAACTCCAGCCAAATTAGTTTCTTTATTCCTTAAAATTAGGAAAAAGTAACTGCTACTTCACAAAGAACTTCAGAACTAGTTTTTGTAAAGTGCTTTTGAGTTCCTCACATGATGAACATATTCAAATTGCCTAAAACAGAAACTGGGAGGGGACCTGATTATTTTTCCTTTAAGTAAAAACAAATATGAAAATGAAATTGTTAGATGAAAATTGTGTTTAATTACAGTGGTAGGTACCAAGCCACTCCTGAAATCAAGTGCATCGGTGCTACTGAGCAACATACCAAATCTATACAGAGATCATTTATTCTACTTTGATTCCAATACAATTTGTTCTAGCACACACCCTTTCCTTAATCCAAATCTACTTACCCAAAACACAATACAGGCTATACTCAGTTTTGTATTATTACTTAAAAGCAAAAAACTTGTTCTTAAACATTTTGGCTTCAAGAAAAGACAGCTTGTGAATCCACTGACAATCTCAAATTATCAACTTCTTTAGTTTCTAAAGCTCTATCACCATTTATCTCAAACTTTTCCACAGATCAAGCCAAATCTATGTTTAAAGTCCAAAATACAAAAGATATGAATTATGTTTTTATAAAAATGTAAAAAGCTAGTCAAAATTACATGTTTAGATATTTAATCTCTGAAGAATGGAGTATAGCAGCAGGAACTTAAATATAATAAGAACTATCAACAATAAATAGAAGAAATTAGTGCAAAGATTGCAATAGAAGGATTCTTGAGTACAATGAGAATATAAAGAGACATTCTAATTTGTACAAAAACCATCCCAACTCTGTATACAATCTCTTCTATAAATACAACCACATAAGATGAAATGCTTATTTGCAAATAATAGTTATTTAAAAGTGTGCTTTATTGGGTTTTTCATTCGTTCTCTTGGCAAGTGTAGTTTGCAGAAAGTCTGTAAAGACAAGTTTCCGTAATTAGGCATTTTTAACTCCTCCAGAAGTTTTTTTTAAAAAACAACTAATAACAGATGCAGCAAATACTTGATTTCCACAGAAAGCATTGTTAGAACACTAAGCATTGTAACACATCCATTTGCAGTTAGCAGTTTGTAAGTGTGTGACAAGTGACACTGAGGTAAATTGTAAAAAAACAACCAACCACACAACAAACCCCCAAACCAAAACCCGAAACAAAAAACCCCCCAACCAACCAACCAAAAAAAACCCCAAAACCACCAAACCCCCAAAAAACCCCAAACCAAAAAAAGTTCACCGCAAATATTGAAACAGCAGTTTACCTATAGCGGAGCATGAAATTGGCTGTGCATTGCTATTGCCTGTTGAAGTTTTTCCTCTTTGGCTCGTCTACAGTGGCAGAGCTACAAAACAAGACATAGGAAGAGTGAATTCTGAAAGGAATTTTTTGTAACTACAGTTTCTCTTTAATGATTTAGCTACTTTGCAGGCTCTTTAAGAAAGGAAAACCCTGCGAACCACCTCCCTTCCAAGCTTCAGGCTGAACAACTGTCTATATCAATAACATTATTCCATCCACAACTGCCTACAAGAGAAGAGAATAGTTTCCTATGTTATGAAAAGCATTTATTAGGCATCTTTAAAAAAAGGTGCAATACCCGGTAATTTACTCTTGTCACAGCATGAGCAAGAATGGTGGTTTTCGAACCTCAGTTACCTATTTGGTGATAGCCATCAACAGAATAATTAAAGATGCCTAATAAATTAAACATTAAGGTTGCTTAACACAACATGTCATTCTATGTCAACTTACCAAATTTAAAATTGTCCATGTGGCTATCTTCCCTCTGCCTAGAAGAAAGTGGCACAAAAATATCTGCAACAACACAGGACTAGGGTGTAATGCAGGAGACTTCTGCCTTCCCATCTTAAAACTATGTGCCTTCAGAACGCAGGTTGTATTCTAAACAGACTAAAGCCACTTACGGATTATTTTTCTTTTGCTGGAGCTTACTAAAGCACTGTTCTGTATCACAGGACTGCTCAAACTCTAAGTCTTGAATTTATTCACTATGTGTTGTATATCTCTCAGATTAGAATGACTTGTATATTACCTACCGTTCTCTTTTCCATGAAACTACTAAGAAAATCATCTATTTCTGTTTTGCCTTCCAAGAAGTCTTCTGCAATAGTGTCAGATTCTTCTTCAGCTTCATGAGCAGCTACTTTAAGTCTGGCTTGCAGAGCACTTGGACTGCAACTCTAAGAAAATAAAAACTCCTCTGTAATATTAAACTGTCCATCAAACCCCACATTTCGAAGAAGACAGACAAATGACTACATAAATACGGGATATGTGAATAGAGCATTGTTACTACATAAAAGCCAAGTGACCAGATGAAGCTTCATCTCCAAGAAACAGCACAGCTTGTTAAACTGGAAAGGATTCAATGTGAGAAAAGCGTTCCTAGTTTAGGTCTTGATTCACAATCATTGTCACAAACGTATAAAGCTTTTCAACTTTTACCCTACGCTGTAGAAAGCATCCAACTTGGAAATCTGACAGGTTCTCAAGTGCATGATTTCTGAGTAGAACTAGTGTTTCAAGTGTCTTCAATAAATAGGGTCTACCTTTGAAACTCAAAGTCAGTAGTGAATGTTAGAAGTACAAAAAGGTTAAAAAGCTCTTACTGTTCAGCTTTTACATATACCCTTGAAATGACTGTGGAGGGGAAGACAGGAAAGGAAAAAGCACCTACTCAAGAAGCAGATGGACTCCTAATCTAAACAACCAGTATACTTGTTCTTCTGTTCATATGAACCTCAAACCTTATTTCTGCTTATTGCGTATAATTGCATTATTTTTCCTCTAATACATTTGGACAGTTAATCAGAACATGATTCACATCTTCAGTAGGAGTCAGTACAGAGCCAGAACTGCAAAATTAAGATATTTATAGATTTTACATCCTTGGACTACCCTTCATCTACCCCGTGGAAAATATTTTACTTATGTACTGTAAAACTACAATGTAATCAGAAATTTCCTGTTAAATTAATCTTGTACAAAATAAGGAGAGTTTGCTTTAATAAAAGATGACTAAAATTCACCCACAGTACAAGTAAAAAGACTTGTCTGGAACTTTGAGGGAGAGGTAACAGGAGATACCAGGTAGTGCACAGTAAACATTAACATATGAAGATACAGCATATGTGGAAAAACAGCACAAAACTCCAGCTGCAACTCCCCAGCTCTCAGCCTCCTAACCATCATTAAATTGAATCAGCAAATCTAACTTAGAAAAAAGAAAAGGTAATATAGCAGTGGGGTACTATGTCCTGTTCTTAAGTGGTTTCTTACAGAAGTAGAAAGTTTCTCAATGCCGACTACCTCCGGCCACTTTAAAGCCAACTTAAATCACACAGAAAGGAGGTATTAGGAGTCAAACTATTCTGATTTTGAAGTAAGGAAACAATTAATTAATTTAGATCACCAATGAAATCATTCACTTTGCTGTCACATAACTTTTTGCTTGCTATTTCACATTTTGTTTCTTGCGGAGCATTTTGAAATTCAGGTACTATGCATGCTATTTTAATGGAATGTTGTATTCTCAGGTCTTGCCAATACTGAAGATTTCAGTGCAGAAATTGTTTTATGAGAAGTTACATCTTTTAATGCATATCCTGGTAAACATGCTAAGAAATTTTTCTCCTTCCCTGAACTGCTTTCTGAAGTAATGACTTTACCCTATTTGCGCTTTAGAATGTGCAAAGTTTGACAGCACATATAAACATGTTGTCCAAAGTACGCATACCCTGTGAATCACAGAATTTGAGTTTCTAAAGCAATGGTTTTAATTATTTTCATCTGGTACAGTTTTACAAGCTCATTATGTTGAATGGGTACCATTAATTAAACAAGCCTTCTTTAAAAATCATTCTATTCTTAAAACTGGTTTGACCCAGGATTGTACTTAAGAACAGCTCTAAATGCTCATCACACTCCCTTCTTCCAACTTTGCTTCTATTGTAGTGTTACAAAAAAACCCCAACCCAAAAAACCAGTAGTGCAATCATAACACTGTTTTGCTTTCAAACTGTTTGGTACTTCATCCCATTTTATTTCATACTTGATGTGAATCTATTTCATATAAAATTAGAGTTTCACCAGAAGAATATTCTTTATGGATAAAGATACAAATAAAAACTTAAGTTTTATTCAAGTATTTTTAAAGGATAACATGATATAGAGATTATACCTCACTAAGTTCATGCTGTCTTTGCATCTTTTTTTCAAAGGCTGCTTTCATCTGTGTGAGTTGCTCATACTGGAAAGAAGAAGAAAAAGAGTGTTTTCTCCCTGAAAAAAACAGAATATTACAACTAGTATTTCTGAAAAAGATTTTATTGTTCACTTACTTTATCCAACACCATCTGTCTTTTTGCCTCGAGACTAGGCTCCAGTGACAAGTTTTTTTCTGTAAAATAAAGTCACTATTACTACTTTTTTTAAATAATTCAATTCGCAGAACACAGCAACAGATGCTAATGTTTTGACATCTTACTTGCCAGCTCTTCAATGCTTTTCACTAACTCATCTCTATCAGTAATGACTTGCTTCAGTTGTGGTAGAGTCACAAACTGTTCCAGTAACACTTCCTCTTGCTCGTTCATATTGGTCAGCTGTGATATACTATATTCAAACAAAAAGAAAGCAGATTTAAAGCTAACAGTAAACATTACATGTAGAGTTACTCATTCCTGCCAAAAGTCAAAAGTCTGAGGCATTTATTGGAACTTTACAGATACATGACGCTTGACCACAACTTATTTGTCCCCTTTCTCCTGGATCGTGGGCTCTACTATCTGCAGCAGTGAGCTTAAAAAACATCTCTCATTTCAAGCCTTACTTCCTATAAAGCATTTTTTAATGCTACTATAGTGGGTTGACCTTGGCCAGCTACCAGATGGCCACCCAGCTGCTCTCAGTCCCCCTCCTCAACAGGATATAGGTGAAAAGCTTGTGGGTCGAGATAAAGACAGGGAGATCACTCACCAATTACGATCACAAGCAAAACACGCTCAACTTGGGAAAAATTTAATACATTGCCAATTATAGTAAGAGTTGGATGGTGAGAAAGACAGACAAAAACTAACACACCTCACCCCCTTTTTCCCCAGACTCAACTTCACTCCTTCATTCCCAACTCCTCCACCTCCCCCTGCCCCAGCCAGCACGGGGGTGTGGGCGGAGGGAAGGAAGTGCAGGTGCTGCAGCCAGTGCGCAGCAGTTCATCTCTGCTGCTCCTTCCTCCTCGCACCTTCCCCCTGCTGCAGCATGGGTCCCCCTCCGCAGGCTGCAGTTCCTCGCAGGAGAGCCTGCTCTAGTGGGGGCTCTCCATGGCTGCAGTTTCCGTCAGGGCACATCTGCCTGCTCCAGCGTGGGGTCCTCCATGAACCGCAGCGTGGATATCTGCTCCAGCATAGTCCTCTCCATGGGATACAGGGAAATACCCCTTCTACTGTGGTCTATTCCAAAACCTCCATAGACCGCAGATTAATACCTGCTCTGGCACTTGGAGCACCTCCTCCCTCTTTTTCTCTGACCTTGGTGTTCACAGGATTCTCACATTTTTCCACCCCTCCCCTCAATCCTTACTGTCTCTGCGGTGTTTGCTCTTTTTTAAATGTGCTTTCATAGAGGCGCCACCCGCTTCACTGATCAACTCAGCTATCCTGCAGTGGGTCTGCTGCCAAGCTGGCTGTGTCTGGCATGGGGGCAGCCCTGGGGCCCCTTCTCACAAAGGCCACCCGTGCAGCCCCCAGACTACCAAAACATTGCCACCTACACCCAACCGAGCTACTCAGAACAGCTACAATACCATCTGTGATTTAACTCAACTCCCACCAGAAGAATCATGGAATTTTAATCCAGTCTTCTTGGAAGGACCAAACTTGGTTAGAGTGTTTTGTTTAAACAAACAAACTACACTTCCCCCCGACAAACCCCCTAGCTTTCTGCTACATAATAAAGATGCTGCTAGGACTTACAGCTGATTTAGCTAAATTAAACAGGTTCTTAAGAAGGTGTCATGGGAAACAAAAAAAACACCCCCACAACCCAGAAGTCCTTCTTGCCAAAGGTCTTTTCCTTTTTGAAAGGACAGAGTTTTCAATCACTAAACTATGACACCACCATAAAGATGTGAGATCAGAAAGAAACCAATCTCCTAAGACCCTTTCGGAATTAATAGCTAATTTGTAATCTATTCATCCCAGATAACTGATCAAGGAGGCTGTCTCATGAGATCTGAGCAAACTGCTGGGAACAAGAACTAATATAATTTTTTTGAATTGTGACAAGATGTACTTTTGGTGAAAATATTTGTGTAATATGCACATGAAGTATTTAGATGTGGAAGTCATTTACACTGGGACAGCTGGCACATTTACCACCTGGATTTATCTGACCCAAACCCCCACACACGCTGAGCTGCTCAGAAAGTAGTCCATTTGTGAGCCAGTGTCAAGACTATTTCCCTGTCCCCTTTCCTCCTTCAAAAGTTTTCTACTAATACAATAAGTATAACAAGTCCCTGGTGAAGCCCCAGAAGACAGCAGAACACTGATAGTTAGCGAAAGTAAAAATAAATGCTCTTTTTCCTGGTGTTGAATACTAAAGTATTGTTCCTGATGAGAAAACCCTAAACAAGCAGCACATTTGAATAAAATGCTGGCTTACTTTCTGACTCTACAATTTTGGTAAGTGGTAGTTCTTGTATTTATAATTTCTACAAAACCCCATCAGTGATATATATATATAGACTTTTGACAAAAATCAGATACAGACCAGCAGTAATTGCCTTTTAATGACTATGGAAAATTTTGCTACCTTCTGAAAATTTACCTTAGTTCTGAGAGTTCTGGAAATGTATCAGGAACATCAGGCATCTTGTAAGTAAATCCATTCTGGCTAACCTAAACAGAAGTTTAGAAAAGCTTAGGAGATTTTTGAAGGGCAATTTCTTGATATTTCACCTCATTAATCCAAAACCAGACATGAATAAATATTCCAGCAACAAGATGGAAAAGCAGTAAGAAGCAGTAAGCAGTAAGAAGTCTCCAAACAGAAGACGTCTCAACTCAACCACGGCAACAAAATACTTGGGGACGTTTGGGGTAGGACGACATAAAAAATGAGTCAATTTTGGAGGAAAATAATTCTGTCTTGCTATGTCCTCCATTTGACAACAGGTAGATGACCCAGGAAACACACAGGATGAGTGTAACTCAGGGAAGTGAGAACAGAGAAAGAGATTAACATTTTGATCTCTCTCATGTGGTTTTGAAAGCTATAATCCCTTAGGAAAAAAAAGTTTTAGACAAAAAACCCTCTGTCTTCATAGAAGGTAGAAATTTTAACTTCTACAAACGCAGAAAAGTTCTTCCAAGATGATGAAAGCTTTTGTTTCTAAAGACAACATTTGATGAAAGACTAAACATTTAGAGATAAAGTTTTTGGAGGACAATAAAAAAAAAAAATCCTTCAATAGTGCATCAGTGAGAGGGAGTTTGTGAGTACACACGTACAATATCCATGAAGAGAAGCTATTTGAAGCATGAAACCTAGAAATAAATACTCTACACATAGAGGCTTGAGACTGTACATCGTTCTCACCTGATAAATTCTGGGCAGGAAATCCCATATAGAGAAAAGGATCTCATTTTCTATAGCTGGAGAAACAGTCAGAGCTGCACTATGGGGGAGTGCAACTCCAAAAAAAAGTATACCCAAAGACATTTAGCACAACACTAGTTTCACTGAAGCTCAGAAAGACAAACTTGTTTCTCTGACTTCAAGTTTGTTCTAAAAAACTTCTCATCAAAGCCAGAATGACAGTTTAATTTTCCTAGCACTAGCAAAACAATGAAGTGCAGTCACTCAGACTGTTCCCTTGAGTTTTATGGCAATGCCCTGTGTGCCCTTGAGGGAACTTACACCCAGTGTCTGATAGCTTAAGCAGCAAAACTCAGGACACACACCTGAAGCACTGCTTCTGCTGTCGGAACAGGTAGTGGCAGATCAGCAATCAAGCCATAAGAGGGAGCAGCAGGCTTGTCTGTAGTGTAGCTTGAAGAAACTGATTCAGCAACAGGCACCGCTGCCATTGTTCTGTTTGTCTCTTGAGGCGGGTATGGAGGAAGAAATGGAAACCCCTGAGGAGCAAAAGGAGGCATTCCAGCTGGTTTGTTGAAAAGGCTAAAAACAAACAAACAACCACAACCGTGAGCAACCGTTTACGGCACATTTCTTATCATTTGAATTATAATTACTAGACCACATACAAGACGTAACATTGAGTTTTTAAAAAACCATAAACTTTGCATTTTCTGTTCGCTATTTTTGATGTACTAGGTCTACTTTATGCCTTATACTATATGTCTTATATACATAACATACGACACCATTAAACTATATTCTTGTAGAACAGCCAAATACACACTACTACTCAAAAATTTATGAGAGCACAAATTTAAATTGTTTCCATCTCAAAGTCCTGAGAAATGCATCTGTGACATACACTAGTTCTTATTTACAGTATAGCATTTAAGAGCTTGGGCAACACACACATAATTACTTCTAAATAACATGAATTTTTTTTTTTAGATGCAGCTGCATCTAAACCCATTATCATTGTCAGCCACAGGAACCGCAGTTGTACTATTAAAGCTGTAATGTCTCAGGCCACTTTTGCATATTTAATACAATTATTTAAATTGCACAATTTCTGCTGCACGGTTGTGCAACAGAAGCTGCCTCTAAGCCTGGGACATTACGAACAGAATATGAACACAACTGCTCAGATCATGATCTACAGCAAATTCAACATGTCATCTGATAATGTAAACATTTTTGCTTTTTCAAGAAAACAGAAGTTATAGCAGCATGTTGATACAGTAACTCCAGTGAAATCTACTGTTTCTTCTGAAAACAATCATGCCATCAAGCATGCACACAAAATTGTGCAAGGGCAGGGAATCTATGTCTCACAACACATCCACTACATTATTCCTGCTCCTGCCCTCCTAAGATTTCGTTTCATCTCTTTTTAAAAAAATGTAGGTTAATACACATAGTTCCATTCATCACGTTTATAGGTACTTACTATGGAAATGATGTTGAGCTAGGAGCCAGAACCGGAGGATTCTTCCAAAATTCGTCCAGTAAACTTTGAATAATTTTTCCAAGATCTGAGTGCATTGTAAACTGGTAAAAACAAAACAAAACAAAAAACCTCAAAAAACTTAAAGCAGCAAGATGAAGAATAAAAATTATTCCTGGGATCCAACAGTTCCAAAATGTGCTCAACTTAACTATGTATTATACCCACATGGCAGTGCTGTAAGCTATTTCAGAGACATAACAGCTAATGTAAACTGTGTTTACACAAGCTCCAGATAAAATGGTAAAGCCACCCAGAACTGAACAGAAACTACAAGTCTTTTGTACAATACATTATCAATGGAGAATCAATCAAGTATAACGTTTCTGATGAACAACCAAAAAACCCCACCTTAGTTACCAAGTTACATTTGGGGAAAAAAAAATAAAGAAAAAAAAAAAAAGATTGAAGTTTGAAACAAAAAGCATCATTAATTGCATTCTGAAAAAGTTATAACCCCACCCCACAACCCAAAAAAACCCTACCACATCCTTGTTGGCAGAGGGGAAAAAAAACCCAAAAAAACCAAAAACCCACAGCATATTAAAATCTGGCATATTAGAGCTAAAACCTTTACATCTTTCTAACAGGATTAGGGTAGAAAGAACTATGTTACAGAACAGTCGTAAAGCATTGTTTTCGCTTCTTTGGAATAGCTGTAGAGAAACAGGAACTGTGCTATTGGTACTAACAAGAAAAGCAATAGGAACTTTCTAAGCCATCATAACTTAAAATAGTTTTAGATATATGGAATCCTGAACTTAGTAATGGTAGCAGTAAAAGAATAAATCGTAGTATACTGAACACTACAGAATTTTTGTTTCAGACCCCTGAAAATATAGTTTGAGAGGGATTAGGATCTCTACTAATCTTTTTTACCAGAAGTATTAGCAATAATCTAGTATGACATGTATTAAAATTGCTATTTTTAAGAGTAGATATATGTGAAGATATAGTGTAGATATATGTGTATATGTAGATATATGTGAAGCTAGTAGATATATGTGAAGCTACAAATTATACATACATTACTTATTAATGGACTGGTCACATATACTCCCTGCTTGTCCATTAAATGATGTCTCACAGGTGGGAAAACACTGATGACTGGTTTTTCCTGAGGAAACTGAGGTGGAAGCAAGCTGCAAATACAAGAATAATCATTACCACAGCTACATCCCATGATAAAGTTTGCATAAGGAGCCTTCTTATGCAAAGAAAAAGTACTATTAATTACATAAACTTACTTGTCTACAAGAAGAGTTATGGAGAAATACAGAGTGAAGCACATAAGAGGATTATTCAGTTACCAAATTAGAAGTCAGACGGATTAGAATACTAGACTTCCACAGAACTGAAAAGAGCATTTACTGGGCAAAATTGTAGTATAACAATGAAGCAATTATGTCCACGGACAAAGAAAAAGCTGTAGCATAATGAGAATATTTTCTAATACAAATGTTATTACTACAAAGACAATGCAGTGTAATCTGAAAGAATATCAGGCAAGTTATCAGGCTAAAGTAATAAAAACCTTGTGAATAGAGTACCATCAATATCTGCCAGAGCAAAAGCACCCCCCAAAGTAAATACATAGGAAATGTTACAATGAATCACTTAAGTTATGATCCAGAAGCTTTATCAGGGTAAGAGTTAGTATTAGGAGTTTACAGCAGATTAATAAATTATTAAGTTTATTTTCACTTGTAGGGGATTCAAAGTCATCAGAACCCCTCAATCATTTTCTCCTACTTACCTTCAACTAAAACCATGTAGGTATCTTAGGAGCTGAGCACAGCAAAACATAGTTTTACTTTCAGCTGAGCATCTGCATACTGTACAGAGCTACTTTCACTCATACCACTACAACTACTAATGCAAATCCAGGTTATAGCTGCTGGAATTATGAGATGGGAGCCATTTATGTTCTATTACTACCTTTTTTTTGAGAACATTTTTAATTTTCGAGATATGCATAGAGATATCTCACTCTACTTACATGTTAATATTAATTGTCAAGTTGTTTACAGTGAATGGCAGTCGATATTCCACATCTTTCTGAATTTCTGCAATGCTGTCAAAAAAGAAATTGTTAGCATCCAATTCATGGTCACTGTAACAGCCTAAAGTCTAAAAAAAGGCATGACCTCAGACCTTTGTGTTTAGTTTCATTTCAAAAAGCCTTGTAAGAGTAAAATCGAAAATGCTGGAATAAGATAATATGCTTCAGAATGCTACACTGAATATTATTAAAGCAAAAAATAGTAGATTCAGCTTTTAAACCTCATACATGATCACAAGCAATGAAAATACAGGCAGTGAAACTGTGCTACCCACTGATCTGACAACAATCTCAACTTTATTTTTCTCCACTCACTGGCTTAAGACATCACATCAGTGATTTTTTTTTTTATATGCTGATTTTTATCTGAGAAAACATTTACTTTACCAAGGTGTTACATCTGGTTCACAACTAGGTATTGCTCTGCAACACTGCCTACAGATCAATATTTAAAACACGTATTACACTAGGCCTTCTTAATAGATTAGCTTACTATTTAATAGTCGTTTTTTCCACATGAACCAAGTTCTAGGCACTGGCACAGATATTTTCAAGAATTATCTGGAGAAGAGCTACTTGCAAGAATGTAAAGCTCTGTAATCCAGTGACACTCAAGACACAGGACGCCCCCCCCCAAAAGCATCGAGTGAAGAAACACATCCTCCTGTAAGAGTTAAGCTACTGAGAAAAATCTTTAATAGGAAGTTGATTTCAGCACTCAAAGCACTCTACAATTTGGTGCACAGCAAGACTGTTTTGAAAGATGGCATCCCAAAGAATGTGGAGGAGGAGGAAGAGGAGGAGGAGACGACCTAGCTCAGAAGCAGAAATCTCCAGACAAAATGAACATACCTAGGCTGGGACTGGGAGAAAAAGGAGGGCAGAAAATCAGCTTCACCTTATAATGCCTCAATCAAAACAAACTTAAAAAGCAGACTGATTCCTCTTCCACATATTTTTCCTGCCTGCACCTTGTTAATAATATTCTTCCCCCGCACCTCTCTAAGGCTCCCTTACAAAGGGAGGGAACACAGCTCGAATTGGGAATAATGGCAGCTGGATGTTCCCAGAAAGCCTCCTTGTACCCAGCTTCAGAAATGCCCCTCCATCCACCACCAGCTACACTCCATACAGTTACTTCCTCAAAAAAACCCAAAACACATTACCTGCAAATGTGTGTTAAGTGCAGTCCTAGGAGTGTTCTGTATCCCTCCAAAGCATTATTTGCACACAGAATTTAAAACTCTAGTTTTCACAGCTTTGGGAATAAATGGAGTAAGACACAAACCTAGCTAAGCACCCTGCTTTCTGCAGCCAAACCTCATTCCTCTCACAGAGAACCC